TAAAGATTTGTTTTGAGATGAGGATAATATTGATTTAAATGGTAATATTTAGAATAAACACACTTTGCCGACATAATTATCCCCCCCCCAGAAAAAACAACAACTGTGTTCAGGTGAATTCATTCTGAAAGATTCACAAAATAAAGGACTTTTTCTATTGCATAAAGGTACGATCAGGCGTTTATATTACGCTAGATTTTTTCGTTGACGCCATATTATCCTTTGTTTTAAACAAAGAAGAGTGAACATTTGATCGTCTTCTGTGTACACATTCAATAGTATTACTTCTTCAAAGGAATATAGAGTAAAATAATATTTACGAATAATGATGGTTTTGTAAATACTGTCGTCAAAGAATCAGTTAATAAACAGTTGAATACAATGAAGGATTGTGATATGTAGACGCTATCAATTTTATGAGGAAGAACTGCTATTTCTATCTTTTTATGCAGACAAAATAAAATTCTCTACCTGTTTAGATTTTAGATGTCGGTAATGCACTACTTTAGCGCAATCTTACTACAGAACATTCATAAGTTAATTACAGCAAATAGTACAAATCATCTTCAAGTTAATACAGTTACTAAGATATCGTAACTCTGAATCATAATCCAGCGTTTCTGAGTGACAGATGTTTGAGTAAAAACAGTGTTTTATATTTACCGATTGGAAACCTCAAATTCTTGGATATGTCATTTTGGAAGTCAAAATGCATTAGGCGATGATCCCTGATGTTTGGAAATAGCTATGGTTAAAAAAAAATGGCATTCATTTTAAGTCACTATTGTGGTTGGACGTTAATGTTACATTTTAGACAAATTAATAAACTATGTACTTTTGAGCTGTCCTCTAAAATAGAATGAATATGTTTCTCAGGTTGAGTTTCTTCAAATTTCACTTTGAATTATGACATTGAATATTTATCTGACGGGATAAATTGTTTATTCTGTTATTGAATGTATCGTTTGCTTTTAAGTAAACTCAACCTATAATTAAATTTCAGTTTTTATTGGTCTAGGACGTTTGACTATGTTTTAGTGTTGTTGAAGGAACCGTTACTAGAAAGGGATAAGAATACACTAAAGTTTATTTATTCGTGATAAGTTGTAAGGAAAATAGTTCACTGTTAAGTAGTCGGTAGTAGTCGACAGAACATCCCAATTGGCCCTGTTTTTGTGCTAGTTGGCACTCATCACAGGAGGATATACCTATAATCTTGAGGGAACTGATATTTCTTAGTGAATTCAGATCCAGGTAATCCAATTTCACAGTCTGTGATGTCTAAGATTGACGGAATTTGATTAGCGTTCAGAGCTAGATAAACACAATATTCCTCACTACTGATTCTAGTTTAATGTAGATGGAAAGCAGTCATATTTTTGACAAAATCGTTAAGACAATATTTCAGCCGAAATGGATTCTTATTTCAGCTAAACAGACATACAATATACACAATTCAGATGAAAAAGCAGCCAAAAAGTTTTTATTCGCTGTGTAAACATACGAAATTATGGCGAAAAAAAAATTCTAGCCATTAAATTTTTAAGAGAAATTTTCATTTGATAGTTTTAAATAAAGTTTTTGAATGGTGGAGATTTGTTGCTCAGGTGGATGATTTGGGTGGAGTTTTGCTCTTTGAGCTGGTTGGTTTGATCGTGGAGCTTTGATCGTTGAGACTCAAAGCCTCATTGTCTATCATATAAGTGAACACATGAAGAGAGAGAGTCAGTCATAATCTTTACTTTAGAGTTGTATGATTTAATTAGAGTCAACTTCCCAGTAGTTAATGTGGTAAAAAAGGCAATTACAATCGATGAAGAATTACTATAACTCTTAAATTTCATAGTCTGCATCACAGACTGATCTTAGTTAAATAACCATTGAAAGCCAGAAACAATCGGACACCTGGTTAGTCCTAGTAATTAGCTCTTCAGCAGTGTATTATATCCATGACTTCATTAAGGATCGAACTCCATACCTTCAGGTCTCTCGGTGAACACTTAACTTTTAGATCACCGAGCCGAAATCAAATGGTTGAAATATCTAATTGTATCTGTCAACTTGTTTGTTGTCAGTTGTAACAAACAAAAAACTATTATAAGCAAAGATGGATGGTGGCTAGCAATGAAATCCAAGACGTGCGTTTCGTCCTATTTGGGACTCATCAGCTGAATGTACCTTCATTCCATAGTTGATGTTCACTCCGGAACATATATACCAATAAGAGACTGATCAATTACAATCCTAAACATCAATTGGAAAATGCAAACAAACAATACATAATGAATTAAAAAATTGACTATTATAACATATCTGTATCCATTTTCCAATGAGGCCGTTTCATAGTAATAGTTTATGTTGAAATATACATGGAGATAAATAGAGTAGAATTTAAATCTTTTGATTATTTGGGTATTCAGTTGAAAAAAAGTTTCTCTCTCTCTCTTACCTACACACACACACACACATAGACTCAATCTATCTATACAAAAGGTTCAAATATATCACCATATAACAACATTATTAACTGTAAAAGGAATAACTCTGATTGTCTATTGACTGATTTGATTCATTTCTTTATTCTGGACTAGTTTTTCTTTTCTAAATTTATTTAAATATTTAGATCATTGATAAAGTTAGAAAAACACAACAATATGATTATCATCATTGTGTGCGCACAGTTGTAAAAATCAGTATTTCCTGTTTTTGGAACGATTGAAGGAAGTGAAAAAAAAGGATATTTCCATCACTTGTTGTTCTTCAATAAAGAATTATCATTATTATTATTATTTAGAGAATAATAGTCCAACTTCTACAGAGTCTATTCATTAAATCATGGTAGTAGGAGAACTATGTAAACTTGGAGATCAACAGACAATGAGGATAATGTAAACAAGGAAAAATCAAAAATTTCAGACAGTTTTATTTTATAAATAAGCAGTTTGAGATAGATGTTAGTACTACCATTATTTACGACAAAGAAAGTCTTTTTTTCATAATTCGCATCACAGACTGATCATAATTAGGTAACCATTTGTAAGACAATCATTATGTACTCACTAGTGATTAGCTTCGAGAGGAGTGAAGCTGTGATCGGTGGAGCTAAACTGTGTCGAGTGTGAGGAAGGTATCCACCGAAGACTATGAAATATGGTAGGGATATATCGTGGGTTGATTGAAGTTAGACTTGTAAATGATTGAATCTGTCTCGGCGGTCTAGATATTATGCATTTGTCACAGGAAAGAGGTTCCTAGGTTTGATCCGCTGTGACAGATCGTGGATGTGCACAGCTGTGGAGTCTCATACTGGGACAAGGTAGCTGTCATGCGCTTGCAGACTTTGAATAGTTATCTAACTTCGGTCGATTCACGATATTTTAGTGACCCGTTGATTTGACTCCAGATTGAAAGAACGAATGAATATGTCATGAATACAAATTATCCTTTTTATTCTGTATATTACGCTGGCCTAACCCTGTTTGAGTAATGGGAATAGTAAGAAGTTCAATATGAGTTGTGTTGGATCAATTTATTTCAGGCACTTGTTTAATCAGACAAACATTAAGAATGAGAAGTCGGAAGACGAAGCAAAGCGAGGCGGAGAAGGCAAGCGTGCCAACTCTCGTTTTGATAAAGCGTGACTCATTATTTATTGCCAGAGGAAATTAAGTTAGAGACGTTATGAATAGGGTAAGCGCCACTCACACACGTTCATGTTAAAACAGTAAAGGTTAATAAAGGAATAATGGACAAAGTCAAAGTGTGACTTAAGAAGAATAAATATTTTGTTTTTCACAAGGCAAGAATAACCCATGTGGGCTTGACATAGTGCTAGACCCTGCAATCTCAATAAGATCACTGAATAGCTGTCTCACCTTAGTATGGGACTTATCATCAGCGAGAGTTCATTACGTTTTCAAGGATCAAACCCAGTACTCCTTGGTCTCACTTGCTCAGTATCTGATGATTTATATTTCTAACTTTAACTAGTCTGTCATATTACAAAACCATCTTCAAATATCATTGGTGGGTAATTTCTTCATACCTGACATATTTGAACTTCACTGACCACAATGTGTCATTTGAAATATAGTCATTACTGCCGCCAAATTAGTCACATGTGGGCACATTGATTTCAATACAAAAAATATATCTGTTTACGTAACTATACATACTTTCTAGTCCTTTGAGTTTTAGGAACCATTAGAGATTTAAGATATGGACTTGATGTTATTATATTTATTCCCAATGATTTCTTTTTGTCATACGTTTTATGATGGATAATAGTGGAATCAAAGGCTCCCATCTTATCATAATTAGAACTCGTCATCTGGCTCTACTAGCTTCTCAGTGTTGATCGAAGCATAAACTATCTACTTATATCTTTGAACACTAATAGATTATCCATCGGACTACTGAGTTTAGATGATAATTTGTTCCACTGGAATAAATTATTTTGTAAGAATATATCAGTTTCACATATGGTTCAATGGATCATTTGTTATTATTTATTCTATTTTCTGTTAATATTGATTTTTGATAATCGAAGACAATCGGAAGAAATTTCTGGACTTATGTTCCCAGTTATTTAGGATTCTTTACGTTAAGGTAACTACAATCTTGAGATGGTGTATATTCTCTGTGGAATTCAAACTCGTACCACTCAATATAAAAGCCTAAAGTGTCACTTTCGTTTCGCTTTCGTGATTGATTGATTGATTTAGTTCAGTTAGAACTTGAAATTAATTACTTATATACGTGGGAATGAAAATATATATACCGATGCATTTGACTTGGTTTTAACCAAGACATGTGACAAATGCATTATATGAATTAAACTGAATATATGAAAGTATACTACGAAAAATTATTTCAAATCCCCTCTTGCTGTTTTCAGCATTTCTTTGTTCATTCACATCTGATCATAAGTAGTTAGAGTGAAAGTGAGATATTTATTTATTATTATCTTGATAATTTTTATTTGTTTTTCAACTCTGAAGGATCAGTGGATGAACGGCATTTGGCTTTACGAAAATCACAGTCTTCCAAAAGTCTATTTCAACAAATCGCATGGAGAAGTTTAGATAATTCTAGACGACAAAAAAACATGCTAAGTGGAGACTATTCGGAACCACTTTGGGCAATTGTTTTAGATAAGAAAATGGAAAAAAATTATATACCGGTAAGTAAAATTATATTTAATTTTCTATCAGACCACTTACTATGAGAAACTAAGATTGCAAATTAATGGTTTGACAACTAAAACATTCAAAATGTAGATGAAGCTAGAGGAGAGAAAACATAATCTCTGTTAGATAGTAAACACTTCTTTAGTAGGATATACTGACTTTAGGTAGTAGAAAATAATTGACAAAAATTCTTGAGCTCAGTTTCCACGCTATTCATCAGTACCTTTCAGTAGAGTGTATTTTAAACCTTGTACTACAGATGCTGACAATTGGATTTCGAAACTGAGTAGTCATCCTGTGTCGTAGTTTAAGATGTTACCATTGATGTACCCGGGGTGCGATTAGTTTCTGTAGGACTAAGGTATTTACGTTAATCGACACTGATTTAAAACTAATTTACTGTTTGCCTAATCCTTGAAGCTGACTTCATTCTACTGACTCCTTTGTGGCACGGATTTAAATCCTACGGCGAAGCGACACTCCGAGGTTTAATGCTGACTTTCTTCAACCATCTATCATCAAATATGGTTCATATAGCTTTAAACCACTTTGTAAATTAATAGGCAAATAGTAATTAGTGATGCTCACATGATATTAACTCCTACTTAATGATCATTAGTTGAACATGTATAACACTATTTTTATTCTTATGCAGCTGAATGGTAGTTGGTTTATAACTGTAGTTCTTAGTAGACTCTGCTGTAATTCATCAAACGAACAGCACTCTGAAGTTGGCAATTTAACTTTTATTTTTAAAGCCTGCTGCCATTACAGAACATCATATTGCATATAGAAAATAAAAAGAATACAGACTGGAATATTACCTATGAAATGTGTGATAATAACTTGTTGCCCCGTAATGTTTAGAAAGATAGATATGATTGTTCGTATAAAAATGCCGTAATCAAACTAAATAATATTTTGTATTAACAATAAAAACTGTGTTTCTAACCAGGATTATGAAAGTGAGGCTAAAAACGTGACTTTCAAGATGTACAGTTCATTAACACATATTGATTCAATGCACGTATCGTGGCATAAGAAATGACAACATTAAAATTCAATGGCATTAATATTTCCAGGTACTCGTAGTAGATTAAAACATTTCGATTAGCATAATTTTCTATGAACAACTGTTAATTCCTAAGTGATTAAAAGTATGTTTATCATGTAATTAGTGCCAAGATTTGTGTTTATATCATCAGTCTACTCATAAGTAGTTCAAATCAAGAAATGTAAGAATCTAAACATTATGGGAGTTGTGGAGATCACTAAGTTTTTAAATGAGATCGTGAACCGATTAATGTTAGACCACCATTTAAAAAACCCTACTGTAGGAATCCTCGGCAGTGCGCATCCACGATATCGCCCGCGGGTTTCGGAACCACGGCCCTCAGTTTTGCGCGCGATCGCTTAACCTACTGGACAAGTTAGCCGGCGTCCAAAGGTGTTAATGTCTATTCTCAACCAATCCACGAAATCGCGCCACCATCTTCCATTGTACTGAGGTAGATACCTATCTCTACCTAACGCGGACAAGCTCCGCTGGCCACGGCTTCTCACTAGAACTCCGAGAATTCCCTCACGAAGCTAGTCACTAGTGAGCAGATGGTAATTATCAGTATAGGGGTTGTGCAGGTCATTAAGTTTTTGATTGAAAACATGAACCGACTGAATGCCGGCTTAGTGGTTTGCTAGTTTAAGCGTTGGCGCGCGTGATTGAAGGCCTTGGGTCCGAATCTCCCGCGGCGGGATTGTGGATGCACACTTCTGAGGAGTCCCACAATAGGAAGAAACGGCCGTCCAGTGCCTCCAGGTTTTCAATGTTTTGTTTTAGAAATTTCTAGGGATTATTAATTGAAAGTAATTAGAAACTATATTGTCAAAGACTGACTTTATTTTAAATTCATGTTTCTGTAGTTCTGTTTTGTATTGTTTATTTATTTTTTTGTTTCACATTGGACTCATTGACAGTGTTAGTTTTTTAATGATTATTCTATCATTCATTTATTTTGTATTTTTTGAAACTTAATCTAACTATGGATAATGTCAGTAGTTGAAGAATGCAAAAATATCTAAACCGTTTTATCCATAATAATCTCTGAATAAATCCTTACATTTCGTTACAAGTAAATGAAGTGATTAATTAGTGTTTTACTTCTGTGATAATATTAATCATAATGACATTTCAGGAAAGAAAATTTTCTTCTTGACAATCATACTTCTTAAAACTATAAAACTGTGTTTATAATTTGTTTATATATTGGTTACTTGAAACTACCTATTGATGTTTAACATTTCGATAGATCAATCTCTTTTGGGATGTGAACATTCAGCTGATAAGTTAAGAATAGAACGAAACAAACGTCCTAGATACCATTGTTAACTACTACACATTTTTGCTTAAAATGTTTCTTTAATTATTTAATGGACATGATGACCTGTTGAGAGGTGCGATAAAGTTGTTTAGTAGAGTGTTTGAGAATACCAAATATCAGCGATAGTTAATTAAAGTTACAATTCAGCAAGGGTTTTACATACAATTAATCTTTGCTTTTGTAGTTTCCAAATTCATCACTTGTAGTTGAACGACAAAAGATATGTTATCTTATTTTTCCAGTTGGATGTATAGTTACGAATTCAGCTATTTTCTTGGATGAATTCGTATTGAGTGTATTACACGACAACCTAGTCAACAAATTAGCCAAATTCTCTCATATACTTTGAAGAGAATCAGTTATTCTAACGAATATAGAAAAAAGTGATAAGTTTCAAATATATAACAGTGTACAGTTTGTTTCATGATGAAACATTTTTGTAAAATATATCAAACTGCTCTAGTATCTCATAATCTGTCTTTTGGTAATTGCTGTATCCAAACATTCTGAGACAGTTTGACACTAGTCAATAAACTCAATACAAAAATACATTTTAAAGTGCAGGTGCATTCACTCTTTGTGTTATCCCAAAACCTAATCTTCTTAATTCTTCATGTCCCTTTTTTTCTCGTTCCAAATTCATTTCACTGTATTATACTCTTTGAATAAAATCTTTAAACCCTAATCTTTTCGATTGCTGCTTATACTCTTACTACCTCTAGTATAATGGGATTTGAATGGACAACTATATCTCTGTGCTAATGTGGTATGGGAACTCGAACTGATGTACGTACGTACGACGTTCTACGTTGTTACTGACTGACTGATGTTGAATACAAGTGTCACGGGTTTGATCACTGGTTTGGTCATGCGTGAACACTTCTGAAGAATTCTATACCAGCATAATACAGTTGTGAAGCGTTCCCAATTTTTTAGTGGCAGTGAGTACCGACTACAAAATTAAATCGATTTCGACAAAATTCTTTCATATAAATCATATTAGTTACCTTACTAGTGAATGACTTTAAAACTCCGCGGCTAATGACGTTCAGACATGTTGGGAGTGAAATAGCTGTTCCTAATGCCTTTGTATGACAAATTATTTAAAGTTGGAACTGTACCATTCAACACAGACGCAGTTGTCCTATCGGTCAAGCATTCGCCACAAGATCTGAAAGTTCCGGATTCGGGCCCTGATAGGGTCCAAGTAATCATTGCTGCGGAGTATAGTACTAAGACGAAACATCTGCTAAGAGCTCTCTGATTCATAATGGTTTCACAATTGAAATCAATCTCTGACGAACACCGTCTACTTAACACTATCTAATATTTTAGAACGTCTTATTCAAGAGTCATGAACCTCAATATATTCACCAAGACACTGTTTAATAATTATAAATACAATTATACAGCTTAAATAAATGAAAATGATCTACACTGCATTGTCTTAATAATAATTAGTGAAGAAAAGAATTACGGTTTAAATTGACTTAACATATTAATGCAGAATATAATTATCGTCGATATATATATATATATATATATATATATATATATATATATATATATATATATATATATATTCCTAACTCCAATTTATGGATGTTGGTCAATGCTCTTCCAATAGAATCGGTGTTTAACTGTTTCATCCTTAACATAACTGAACTGTACTGATCACGAATTCTCACTAGCACTGTGGGAATTGTCACTCCAAATTAGTCACTGATAATCTTATAATTACTGTTATTAGTGTAAAGGTTTTGTGGGAATTGATGAAACTCAGCTAACATTACGAGCTGACTTCAGTTCAGCGATTTTTCAACTCAGACCATTTAATGGTATTATTATGTCTTGAGACGTTCATCGATCTCGCCTGTTCAATTCACTAACTAAAATTCTAACTGCAATTTTTTTCTATTTTGCGTCTACTATTTCTTCTATCGCCTGACGTCCTAGACCTGACCATTTACACTTCTGATCTGAACGGGCCACTTTGAGCCGACTAAAGCTAAGCTCTTATTAGTCCACCATCCATAAGGTTTTTTATATTACTTGCTTTGAGTTCAAAGAGAACTCAGAAGTTAGCTTCTTCTAGGCTCAGCTCAATACTGAAACAAAATTCGTATATATTAATACATGGAGTGGAGTCTTAGCCATATATCGGCATGAGTAAGAAACTACAATATTGGCATAACTACGCAATAAATGAAAGAGAACTGAGCAGTAGGTTTGTAACAAATTAACAGTAACTTGACAAAAGTACAACATACAATAACAGTTTATACATCATTAACAAGTTTACAAGAAGGACAATACAAGCATACACTCATTTATTTTATTAATAATTGAAGAACAAATATACAAACAATAACTTCAAGCAGGATACGATTCCGGAAGTTCAACTGTTCTAATCCTCGTCCCGTTATTACAATAATGTAAACTATAAAACTAATCAAATGGTCTTATATCTTTAAAAACACGAAAGGAAATTTCCGGAGTTTTGGTGAGAGGCCGTGACCAGTGGAGTTCGAACGAGTCGCATTTGAGGCATTTATTAAACGAAAATAATGGAAGGTGGTCACACAGTATTTTGAACTGATTAAAGTTGGACATTA